CTCATAACCACGTTAAAAAATTAGGAAATAAATATAAGTTATGCCTTTTTCATTCTAGAATGACTACAGATTATATCGTGTAAACATAAATGTTTAGACTAAATAGCTTAAATCTCATAACATTATACATTTATATGTATTTATTATTATATTGACCTTTTAGCCGTGCCTGGCTAACAATACAGAAGTTACAATGATGCGGCGCATGTGCACTCATGTTACTGTATCAAATAATATAAAACTGACCCTTAGTCTTTACAAAGTGACATGTTTTGACTGTGTTTTAGTAGACACATTTCAATTATTATACATTATATATGTATATAGATTATTGCTATTTAGAAATAAGTTCTTACACATACTTTTCTTAAAACATAGAACTGTAAATAAAGAAGTAAAGCAAACAATTATCTCTGCTAGTTACGACCTTTGTACTCGGTTGCTGCTTATCTTAGGTTGCTTAGCCTTTAAAAATTTTGCACATGAAGAATATGAAACAAAATTTTTTTTTAGGTTTTATATATTTATTTAAATAACTTAAACAAATCATAAATTACTACATCAATACCATAGAATTCAACTATAATTTATCAAGCTCAGTAACTAAGATGTATTTTAATCTAAAAAAATAGTGGTTTTCTCAGCCTTTCTAATGTGACTAGCACCATTTCTTTCTTTTGAACCAAGATTTCAATGAGGTAGGTTGTGTCTTTAGTCTACTCAAAATTTCATACAACAGATAAACATCGATTTTTGTGTGGCACGTGGTATGTTGAATGCAGCACTGGTTCAAATTAGATGTTTGTGAAGTCAAAATACTAAGTCTCTAGTTTCGTACGAATTAGAAACTCAAAATACAGATATTGACAAGCTAGAATATAAAATAAGAACCTCCTTTCAATTTGCTAAGATATTGCTCATGCAATAATTCACACACAGTGGCACCCCGCCCACCTCTTTCCATTTTTGGAAATGCTCCCTTATATACACTTACTTCTATATATAAAATGAATAACCAATTGGAAGCTCAGAATGTCCCCTTGTTTTTTAATATTTACTTTTAAATTAAGGAATTGAGTAATATATAGTTCTAAAGTTTGATACCAAAGTTATTGACATAAATTCATGAAATAGTAATTCAATAGAATTTTGAATGCAAGTCAACAAACGAGATGACATGGCCTTTCACCTATGACCCGTCTTGAAAGGGTTAAGATACGAAGTCTCTCTCGACTACCTTCACTATCCAGATAATGATTTTAAATAAAATCCAAATTTTCCCTTTGCGGCTTCATCAGGGTTAATAATATAAGAATTGTTTACTGTTGATTATGAAGCTGCAATGGCAAAACGGTGACTGAAATAAAAAGTTTATTTTGTTATTATCTGCATACATTTAATACATTTAAAAGGTAATATTGGAACAGTTGTTGTTTTTTCACTGTATTGCAAAAATATCTAAATCTCTTCAGTATGCACTACAAATTCTGAAAAAATATTAATTGATATTGTTAATTTTTTGTAAGCTTTTTTTAATTGATCATAGTAAAGTATTTGTTTTTGTGGGAAATGTAGCATTATAGTAGTAAACTGCTTAAACAGTCTAGCTCCCAGATACCGCTGCTAGTTGTTATAACTTTTTAATTAAAGTTAACTACTTACCCACTTATATCATAACTTATGCAGTCTTGTTTCTCAAATATCATTTCTTGTTATTGTAACATGCATGTATATCTTAAATTGATTTAATATTTATACAATATGTTTTGTGACTTTAACAATCTATCGTTTGAAATAAGTTTTCATTGGTAATTATAACAATTGCTGTAAAATTAAAGTTGGCCGTCTGTAAACTGAGTAAACTCTAATAGCGACTTCTTTTCTTTTTTTTACAGCCAAACATGTGTTTAAGTTGTCATTTGTAGATAAGAACTTGGGACAGTCACACACATTACAAGCGAGTGATGAACATGATAAGAAACAATGGCTTCAGAACCTTAATAAGCTGAGTAATGGACATTGGTCAGCATCCACTAGTGGTATGAAAGTAAGAGTATAGAAGAAATTAAGAAAAATGTTACGAAAATATAATATCAAAAAGCTATTAGTATGTACATAATTAAAAGAAAACATACAAACTGGTAAGTAATAAAGCCAGTAATGTAGTGGTAATTCCCAAAACTTGGTGAAGAGAAACGTTATAAACCAGAAATGATTAGATATTAACAAGATTCACATGAACTGAAATATGATGAGGTAACATCACAAAAAGCTTGTCATTTCTTTGTTCATTTGACCGTACCTATATAATGAGGGAATAAGTGATTTGTTTAATGACATTAAATGATGTTTCTTGTTTATAAATTAGTCGATCCTTATATAAGCACAATAGGAACTATTTCAGCAATAAAATGTTTTCAATGAGCCAAGAAGTTTATTTAATTGTCGTTCATCTTCTCAGTATTGCAAGTTTTTTCTAAAAAAAAAAATAATCAAATTGTAAGTTAAAAATCAGTTTTTTTTGTTCTTTATATTAAACATAAATACTCGTATATCAAAGTTAATATTGGGTTTTTTTGAGATATGTAACAGATCAAATATAAGCAATAAATTTTTTTTGTGTTTGTATGTATTTCTTAATAGGACAATAAAATAATCATGTTTCTTTAAATTTCCTAATCATTTTACAAAACTTTTCCTCTGGCTCAAAATTTGGTTTTGTAGTAATTGAAATTACCTTAGACAGAAAATAATTAAGTCATAGAAGTAGAATTATCAGATGGCTCACTTCATAAAGAATTATTAAAGATGTATAATGTTTAAAATTTGTAAGAAGTTTTTTAAAACAAAATTCTATCATGATTTAATGATTTACACACACAAGGGTTTTCCAATAAACAGATACACGTCTGTGGGACTCGTATCTGAAATGTGGATAATTTTGAGGGTGATTCTTTTTGGTACTTTTTTGCATCTTCAGTCTTTTAATTCTTATATTATTGTCCAACTGCCATAATAAAAAAAACGGCCTATTTTGTTATATCATAAAATGTAGTTATTGCTAAAAGAAATACTCTAGAAAAAAATTTTTTGCAGAATTTTGAAAGAAAAAAAATCTGGTACAATTAATTTCATAAAAAATGAACAAGTTGAAGTTAATACTTGTAACACAAGTAATTTCTTACAAAAAGAAAATTTACAGTTAGGATTCATTAAAACTTGAGCTGAGATATTGTTATCACAAGGAACAATATTAAAAATCTGAGTTCCAACCTAACTAAATATATTTTTCTGCCTTTTTATTTAACACTGTTGCTTGTATTCAGTATTTGTTTCTCTGTAAAAATTTTTTCCTCACATTGTATATGAGCCATAAACCAAGGAATATTACCAAGTTCATGAATTTATTTATTTGAATTTTTTATTTCTGTTAATAGTGTGTTAGTTACAAAAGTGGAACAGTGTTAGTGCTGAAATCCTCCAGACAATGTGCATGGCATATCAAATAACAGCTGTTGATTTCATGCATGCAATGTGTAGTTTAGTGATTTTTGTTTTTGATCTTGCTTGATTATAATAATATGCTTTTTTTTTAAGGAAATGTTTTATATTTGTCCAGTTTTACCTAAAGTCATTTTAAAATGTATTCCTTTCTACCACTAACTTCATTGATATGTATAAATAGATAGCAGACTTTAAAATTATATTTTAATAACAGTGACAGCTAATAAATTTCTAGAAAGTTTGTTATTATTGATAGGATGTTTTAGATAAGTAATAAAAAACAAACACATTTGTTAATGTTTTTTTTTCTTGAATCTGTGTGCAAATATTTAAAATGTATCTTGTACTTTAAATATATGACAGTTAATGTTTAAATCTTTGAATAGAAAAAAAAACTATTAGGTATTATAATGGTAGCTTTAACTGGGGGCTTGTATCTTAGTTAACTTGTATATAATAACTTACATTTTTAGCACATTTTGTGTTCCTGTGAATGTAATAATGGGACTACGTCTGTAGACAAACTATGTTTTTATTTCTTGTAAAACATAAAATGGTGCTTTTGATCAAAATGATAAAATGAACATTTTCTTAAAATATACTGTAGGATAATACATGTATATTTCAAGCATAATAATTGTGTTATAAATGTTGTCCAAGTAGCAAAAGATTAAAGAAATTATTAATTTCAGACTGAAATTTCAACTAGTAGGTCTCATACTTTCAAATATTATAAATATCCCATGACATTTGATTTCAACTAGTAGGTCTCATACTTTCAAATATTATAAATATCCCATGACATTTGATTTCAACTAGTAAAGTTGTGAAACTAACAGATTTAGTTGAATATTCTTAAATTAATCAACAATAATAACTAGAAACCATACTGGAAACACTTCAGTTAGTTGACTAGCTGGAATAATAAACATACTTTATGTTTGAAAATATGTAATAAAATACTGTAAACGTATTTTTTGTCAAGTTTTAACGATCTCTTGGTACAGATGTTCACATACCATAATAAATCAAATGTCATGGGATATTTATAATATTTGAAAGCATGAGACCTACTAGTTGAAATCAAATGTCATGGGATATTTATAATATTTGAAAGTATGAGACTCAAAGCAATAACTACCGATGTTCCTAATAAATATTTAATGTAACGCAAAAGCATAAAACACTTATGTTGAAATACTGATGAATTAATATCATTATGATGATAATGAAACATTTTATTTTACACTTTTAATTATGTACCTGATAAAATATATTTCTGGATTGTAGTTAGAGCAATTTGTGGAATTTAGTAAGTTATTAATTGCCAGGCTCATTAGTCGATTACATTCAATTACTCGATTATTCTCAAGACTTGAATAGTTGGAAGCACAAGTTTCTATAAGTTGGTTATTTCCATGATATTTTTTATCAGTTTTTTGAATGGGTCCCAGTGAGACAGTTATAAGTCTACAGATTTACAACACTAAAATATGGGGTTCAATTCCCTGTGGTGGACACAGCAGATAGCCTAATATGACTTTGCTCTAAAACAAACAAACAATTTTTTGAATGAACTATAATTAGACTGATAACTTTTTAACAACAGTTTCTTCCAAGAACGAATATTCCTCAGGGAGTGAGTGGTACGTTTATGGACTTGGTTTTAAAATTCAATTTTCTGCAGTGAACAGAACACAGAATAAACAAGAATGAATGGTTGGTATCTTTTCTACCTGAAATTGAATTATCAGGATTTTTTTTCTTCTTACTCAATCCAAATTTCACAGTAAAGACAAAATACAGATGGAAACTTAATCATGGGATTTTGACTGATGGTTGTGGTTTTGATACTGCTCTTTTTCATATTCAGAAGCTCGGCATGGCCAGGTGGTTAAGGCACAACGACTCGCAATCTGAGGGTCGCGGGTTCGAATCACCGTCACACCAAACATGCTCGCCCTTTCAGCCGTGGGGGCATTATAATGTGACGGTCAATCCCACTATTCGTTGGTAAAAGAAAA